TCCTTCTCCCAGATTTGCTTGCTCAGGTCATCGATCACGTCGTTTTTCTCGTTCACCAAGCTTTCAAAACTATCCGCCCTAAATGCCTTATAACTGTTACGCAGTGGAATGTGCAAGCAAAAAAACTATTGAATAATTTTCTATTAAGACAGGGAGTAAATCGGGCAAAATCATGATGCCAAACAGAAAAGCAACTGAAAAGTTATCCAAGCCATACTTGCGCTTTAAAATAGTACAAGTCTATTATTAGAAGCGCAAAAATTTCTCTCCTCATTTTTACACAGAGAAAAGGTAGTGTATTCCGCTCTGCATTTGTATAGTTCTTCAGCTCACCTTTTAGCACCAATTCTATTGCTTGTAGAGCAGTCCTACAGGAACTTCAATAACCCAGAACTTCTTATTGTATGTCACAAATTGTACTTAACTTGTTCCGCTTAATTGTCGCTGGTAGGGAGCCTGATGAACGCATGCATTACCTGCTTATTGCTTTGCAAAGCTGCTGATGCTTCTCGTCCAGAAACCTCTCTACATCAGCCAGTCTGCTCTCCAAATTGCTCACTCGCTCTCTTTTCGCCTCCAGCTCATTCTTCACGTTCTCAAGCTCATCCTTGAGGGCGCTGTAAGAAAGTTGAAACAGTACAGTTCCAGATCGGAATGCCACAGCAGTGGAGATAGATCACATGATAAAAACACCTATTAATCTGGAAAATTTTCGTCTTCATTTAAGACAGAATGTATCAACTGAGACGAGGAATTGGAAATTCCACTTTCTTTTTAAGAAAAAGTGTGCATAAAATGAGAAAACCGGACGAAAATGCTTTCTCGTCATCCTTCCTTATCAGTATTCATCCCAAAGTCATTCTCACTGTTTTGTTTATTACTCAGTACCTTCCAATTTTCGTTTAAAAAGGCCACTTCTGCGACCATGAAACTTAGTTGCTTAGATATCCACTATTGCCATTTATTTCGTAGAAAAGATGAAGCTCACTTCCCGCTTTTGTCTTCTCTCCCCTACCTCCCCCCTCCTCTCGCCCGCGCGCCGCCATTTCTTCGGCTGTATTTGATTAAAAAAAAACTGGAAAAAGAAATTAAGAAAAGACATGCGGAGTAGGCAGATCCACTAGTTTAAAACTAGATTCGAATTCCAGAGAGAGCGTAGCGAACACAATACAGTTGGCTGTAAGCGCAATTCTGAATAGCTTACTCGAAATCAGACGGTTTAATTGCCATTTCGCGCTCACGTTCCATTTGTTCCAGCTTATCTTCGAGAGCACTCCTGTCGCGCTTCAAATCGTCTGCCAATGCGTTCGCATCGTGCAACTGCTTTTCCAAATCCCTAGTAGCGTTCCTGCTTTCGTTTAATTCATTTTCAAGTGAACTGGCCCTAAATAAATTTGTTCCAGTTATAATGCTTTCTTCAGCATTAAAATACGTATTTCCATTTCCTAGAAAGTTCTTATTTATCGGCTGAGAAAACTTTTGAATTTGCTGGCTAAGCAAACAGTGGAACAGTTCTTTCCCGAACACACCTGACTGGAATCAGCTTAATTCTCTAACAGACTTAGCATGTCAGCGACAATTTGCATCGAAGATTATAAAAGAATCAACAGTAATTTGGATTCTAAATCGTTTTTTCAAACAAAACATTAAAGTACATTGAAGATAATTTGTATCCTATGATGATTTGTATTAGTGCCAGAGAATTATTTTTCGCTGCGTTCTTAATGCAAAGGTGTATAATTTCTTGTCAAAGTAAAAACTCCCTTCGCATCCGCTCTCTACGACAAGTGAAGAAAAATGGGAATTAGTCTGAGTGGCAACAACTGTCAAAAGCAACCCCTTGAACACAAGGCTTTCAACAGCTCCTTCTTTCAAGGATCGATTCAAGAAAGCTGATTATGGGCCTGATTTTCTGGCATATGCCTTCAGCGCGAGTGCATGAACTTTAAAAGATTTGGTAGTCTAATCACTGGAAGCGACCACTGTCGACTGCTTCACGACAACAGTGTTACTTTTTTCCTTTTTGAAAAAAAATTTTGCGGAAGAGCCATTTTTCTGGGTCCTGCATGCTTAAGCAGTTCCGCAGTAAATCATATTTTCACAGAGGAAGGCAATATTACGATGCGTGCAGTTTCCTTTACCCAAATTTATATAGCAGTGAGATACAAGTCTAGTTTTCCGAATAATTTCAGTGTGACAGGCGCTTCACTTACGAAATTTCAAAAGGAATTTTTTCGATATCCAGCCACTATGCGTCAACTTCATCTACTGCCTGTTATTTGTGAGTTCTTAATCTGTCATTTCACAGCTATTAATGTCTCACAATATGTTACCAGTTTTTGGTATCCTGAAGCCACTGGCAATGCTCGCCAAGGCTCCATTCCAAGTCATTCTTCTGCTTCTCCAGATTCTCAATGACCTCCTGCTCCTCTTCTGCTTTTTTACGAATGTTTTCGAGTTCCGATTCAAGGTTACTAAAATATGACAGATCAGTGTTCCGACAGATTCATCGAAAACGGCGTGAAAGAAGAGGGACTTGCACAATACACTTTTATCCTTTTCCTTTAATAGGATTCTTTACCAACCTAATCTTTTCAAAAATTTTGCAAAATCTAACATAGGATTCATTCAAATTAAGGGTAAAAATAGATGTGGCACTATAAATCTAGAAATGTCAGGATTTAAGAATACCAGGAAGAGAACTATTGGGCAGAGATGTGCGCCGAAATGCAGTAAGCACTAAGCTCAAAACTGAAGGATTTGACATAACTGCATCATGATAAACTTACGCGAATTGTTCAGCTGAAGGTGATCCAACGCTGGCCTCTTCAAGTTGCACTAGTTTCCCCTTTAGCTCTTCATACTCTGCCTATAACTAGGTAATGAATTACAAAGTCTGTAGATGCCAGTGCAAAACGGATGGTAGAAAACAAATTTCTGCCTTGAAAGGATGCTGAATAACTCCAGTAAAAAATACTAAACTAGGGGGAAATGAGCATATAATTTGAACAAAACAGAATCAAAGTTAGCGCGGACCTTTGGAATCGTCGCATCCTTCAGGTTGTTTAGTTCGCTGACTATCTGCTCCAGATTCTTGCGTAGCTTATCATTTTCGCGCAGCTTTTCGTCAACTCCTGCAGCTGCCTGGCTCTTAATATCTTCTAGCTTCTGCAGTAATTCTTCATTGTTTCTCTTCAAGCTGTCGATGAAACGTTCCTTCTCATCCACGACATTCATGAGTTCTTTTATTCTGAATTACTCTTATCAAAGTCAATTTCGTATCAGCACATAATAATTTCAGTAATTTAAGCACTGAAAATACAGCCATATAGGAAAAGTGATCTCAGTAAGAGTTATGAAAATTTGTCCAAATTTTCTTGTGACCGTGAAGCAACGTAAGAAAAGTGGTGTAGGGTATTCATATGCGCCACGGTAAAAAAATCGACTGTCTTTTCGTAACTGCCAAGAATTTCGAATTGACAAGTGATGCTGTTTCCAGAAATGAGCACCATGACCTACAGCTGTAGCTATACGACAGGCCTTATACGCAGAGCGCCTCAAAATAAGAAAGCAATGTCCCGCAATAGATAGGATTCGGAACACATACAGTGATCAAGATGGTCATTACTATTACCTGTTGTTAGCATCAGCTAGCCACTGCCTATGTTCCCCAAGGCTCCATTCCGCATCATTTTTGGCTTTTTCTAGCTCGTTCATTCGGCCATCCTTGGTAGCAATCTCGCCCAGCAAATTCTCCACCTTTTCCTCCAGCTGTCTACAACTGTATCAGTTAGTTTATCTTGTGACTGCACAACCTACACAACGCTAGGAAAGAGGCTTACCGGGTACTGCTTGCATCTGATGTCGCTGTCGGCGTTTCTTCTAGCTGACGCAGTTTTTCATTTAGATTGTTCACTGTTTCCTGAAAGAAGTGCACGTTTTATTGGATTCTTGTGAAACACATTCAATAGTTCATCAAACTGTACATCCTTTTTCTCTCGAAAACAGCCGCTTTTTGAACTGCCAATAAATTATGCTCAACTGATCCCGTGACTGGAAAGAAGAAATTGCTCAAAATGTACAGTTTCTTCTTTCTGGTCGCGGGTCAGTTTTTGTCACTTATTGGCAAACCCTGAATTTGGCCTCTAGATTTCTGATTAGATTGAAAACTTATCACCTACCATCACCTCACAAAAGCTTAGCACCTACCATCACCTCACAAAAATTTCAACAAAACAAAAAATGTTATGGATCAACACACGATCTTATTAATTTTCCGACGAATCCGCTAGATTTATTCAATTTTGATAAAATATCTTGTAAGGATCCTGTGGATATGCCTTGGGTATACAATGAATTTTGTCCTATCAGAATTATACGGAATTATACAGACTAGTCCTTCAGCTAGCCAATCCTGTTACTAAGATTAATTTATTCGTCTTGCTGCAAAAAAAGTGCAAAATGCAAGGCTTCACAGAATCGAACAAGTTTTCCCTTTAAGAAATGGAAATGTCGGCGTCACACGCAGCAGACTGTGTTTCTTGAAAAGGCTTGGGGTGAAGAGGTAGAAGAGTGGTATGATCTAGAGCAAGATGCACTTCCAGAAGAAAAGTTATGTGCTGTAATTAGATCAAATGAAAGCACATTGATGTCCATTACTGCAGAAGTTGAAGCGAAAAAAAAGAAACCTGACTGGCACGTTCCTGTTCTTCCAGATCACGCTTCAAGCTTTCCAGCATAGACTGCAGCTCGGCAATGTGCTGACGCTTTTCTTCCAGATCATTTTCCAGGCCTGCCGCTCTAAAACATGCACAAAACAATGTACGGAATCGAACAATAAACTATCAAATACGATTAATCTGAAAGAGGAAAACAAATACCGATAATTAGCATCCTGCAACCACTGCTGATGTTCTCCGAGCTTCCACTGCGTGTCATCCTTCTGTTTTCGCAAATCGCGCAGCTCATCATTTTTAAGATCAAGCTGGCGGTGCAATGCTTCTATTGTTGAACTGGCATTATCACTGTAAACAGCCTGTTTAATATTTATGTGTTTTGCTACCAAACATCAAAAAAAGCCAGAATCAACACTCACTGGGCTTTTCAATGACAGGGTTTTTTCGTCTTAATTCTTCAACAAGACACTTCCTCTCAGGCTAATTCACTAAAATATAACTCGTCTGCGTTCTGCTGAATTACAGTTATCGAGCGTCTTTACATTCAAGGGCCAATCAAATGTTAGCTCCTTACAGTAGGAGATTTGATCAGGAAAGCGAAGAAAAAGCTTGGTGTAATACGTGAAACCCATTTTTTGCAAATGAGTATGGCCCTACAGGAAATCCTCTTCACAACTGAATGACGCCTTTTCACATTTGGACGCACGCGCCATGCTTTTAACTGTATCACATTCTCCAGGAACCTAGACATAGCCTGGAGCGCTTCTCTGCGTATTTGTCCCTTGCAGAATATACTTCCTCGTTTCTTGTCTGCCTCCCACGGGCAATATACATCTCTTTCCTGCCCGCCTTTCTTCAACAGATTTATGGCAGATTTTCCTCTGCTAACTTTTCACGGGTTTTTCGTGACAATTTTACTAAGACTGGGAATTCATTTTAATCGAACATCGCTGAATTTTCTTTGCATTTTACTGAATGTTACTAAATTAAAGTAATCATGTTGACCTTGTAGCATCCAATGGCTCAATGATCTGTGGTCCGGCCTGTTCAAGATCCATCAGCCTCTGCTCCAAGTTATCAATCTTGTCCTGCAAAAAAAGACGCGTGGAGACTGGTTCGGGAACTTTTTTGTTTGTCTTCCTAAATGTATTTCACCCACTTTGCTGGCAAGTTGTGATTCGGCGGCAATTTTTTCCGCATTGTCGAGAGCAGCGTGCAAGTCTTCGATTATTTTATTTTTCACTCCCAAATCATTTTCTAGCGATTGGCCCCTGAAAGACGCATAATTCACTAAAACACGTTATCGCCAAATACGCTACTGATCCAGTCAAATGCAACTTAAAATTCGGGAGTTAAACGATCCAAAATAATATTTAGGAAAATTGGTTTTTTTTTTTGCTCAGGAAACTTTCTAGAGTTTTCAGAAATACCAGTTTCTGGTGTCGCTAAGCCACT